ACGCCTCCGCCCCGACGAAGCCGCCGGCCTTTTGGGTCCCCTCAACTTCTCCGCGTCCGGGGGGGACGTGGGCTCCAACCCCTCCGCCTACAACTACTGGTACCAGGTTGGGGGGGGGCTGGGGGGGGCCGGGGGGGAGCCCTGGGGCTGTGGCGGGGTGGGGGGGACGCTGACGACCCCCCCTCTGTCCCCACAGCAGCACGGCTACGGCGCCTACAGCTACCAGACGCCGTGGAACTACAACCAGTACTACTCGCAGAGCTGAGCCGGGGACGCCCCAACTTCGCCCCCCACCCCCTTTTCTAAACCCTCCCTTTAGTAAAAACACGTTTCTGTACTTTTTTTTTTTTTTGGCCCCCTCCACCCCGCACCTTTGCAATGAGGCGGAGGCGGGGGGGGGATGTAAATAAACAAAGAGACGGCACTGCGAGGAGCCCCCCTGCAGAGTTTTATTTTGGTTTTGGGGAATTCTGGCGGTCACCAGAGGGGGTTTGTTCCATTTGGGGGGGGCTCGTGATAAGGGGGGGGATGCCGTTTTGGGGTACCCGCCGCTTGGGAGTAGGTCTCTGTCTTGTTTTGGGGAGCCTCTTCCGCTCAAGAGGGGGTTTGACTCGGTTTTCGGGGTCCCCTGCCGCTCGCAAGCAGCTTTACATCCCGTTTTGGGGTGCTTCTGCCCCTCATGAGAGCCTTGGACCCCATTTTGGGGGGGCCCTGCCCCGCACGAGGGGCTTGGACCCCGTTTTGGGGTGCTTCTGCCCCTCATGAGAGCCTTGGACCCCATTTTGGGGTGCCTCTGCCCCTCACGAGGGGCTTGGACTCCATTTTGGGGTGTCTCTGCCGCTCAAGAGGGGTTTTGACTCCGTTTTTGGGGTATCCTGCTGTTCGCAAGCGGGTTTGACTTGATTTTGGGGTCCCCTGCTGCTTGCAAGCAGCTCTACATCCCGTTTTGGGGTGCCTCTGCTGCTCGTGAGGGGCTAGGACCCCGTTTTGGGGCTCACAAGCAGCTTCACATCAATTTTTGGGGTGCCCCACCCCTCGTGAGCAGCTTTCCAATCCATTTTTGGGGGACCCTCTGCCATTCCCGAGCAGGTTTTTGGGGGTCCCCCACTGCTCACGAGTGGCTTTGCCTTCATTCTGGGGTCACACCCCCAGTTTAGACCCCCCCACCCCTCGTGAGTGACTTTCCATCCCATTTTGGGGACCTTCACCCCCATTTTGAACCCCCCCCCCCCCCCATGACCACCCTTCCAGCCCGCTCTGGGGTCCCTCACCCCCATTTTGGACCACCCCCCTCCCTTGTGAGTGACTTTCCATCCCATTTTGGGGCCCTCCACCCCCATTTTGTGTGTGTCCCCCTGCTCCGCTCGCAAACAACTTCGCTTCCATTTTAGAATCCCCTCAGCACCTCTGCCTCCATTTTGGGGTCCCCCCTGCCTCGTGAGCGGCTCCCCCTCCACTTCGGGGTGCCCCCCCTTCCCCAGCACCTCGGGGTCACTTTTGGGGTCCCCCCGATATATTTTGGGGTGCTAAAAGCCCTTTTGCAGCAACCAGTCCCGCAGCTCCCGCTCCCAGTGCCCCTTCAGCCGCAGGCTCCCTGTCACCTCGTTCACCTGCACCTCCAGCTCCTTCACCCCCAGCCCCCCCAAAAACTCTCGCAGCTCTCGCTCCAGCGCCTGGGGGGGGAAAGGGGGGGTTCGTTAGCACCCCAAAAACCCCACCGTACCCCCCCCGGCACCCCCAAATCGTCTCCTTACCCAGATGTCCCCCTCGACGTGCCGTAGCTCGGTGAGGCGCCGGTTGCCCTTCACCGTGTGGGGGTAGACGGGCAGGTTGTGGAGCCGGGAGCGGCGGATGAAGTACGGTAACGCCGGGGGGGGGTCTGGGGGGGGCAGCGGTAACTGTAGCCCCCCCCGAGGGGTTAATAACACCCCCAGGGGCAGGAATTACACCCCCTTGGGGTAAATAGCCCCCCTGGGGGAAATAATCCCTGGGAGTACATACCTCCCACCCCCAGGGGTAGATGTTCCTTAACAGCCCCCCCCGGGGGTAAACACCCCCCCC